TGGATTGATTCAGTGACTGGGGTAATTGGGATGGGTGTGTCAGAGGCAGTGCGACTGGCACAGGACAGAGCAGGGTTTAGGGCTGTTGTACATAGGGTCGTTATGAGTCGCAAATGACTCGATGGCACATAAGAACAACAACAACAATTCACTGTCTTTCAGAAGCATCGAAGCAGTAGAAAATGCCATGGCTTTTATGTCGTACTTTTTAGTTGTTAGCACTTTAAAGAGATCCTTGACAGTTTTTCCCAGTGCAGCACATCTGTTGATTTCTTGACTGCTGCTGTTGCTGCTGCTATGGGTGTTGATAGTGGATCCAAATAAAATAAAATTTTTGACAACAACTATCTTTTATCCAACTATCTTCTTGTTGCTGCCTATTGTTCCAGTTTGAGAATATTTGTTTTCCTGATATTGAGTTGTAATCCACATTGAAATCTGTGGACTTTGATTTTCTTCAATAAGTGCTTCAAGTCTTCTTCACTTTCTGTAAGCAAGATGATGCCATCTACATAAAGCACATTGTTACTAAGTCTTCTTCCAGTTCTGATGCCATGTTCTTTATATAGTTGCGCTTTTAGAGTTGTTTGCTCAGCATACACATTGAATAGGTATGGGAAAAGGATGCAACCCTGAAACACACCATGCATTGGTAAATAATGTCACTTTGAGCCGTAGTAGACAATCTCAGATAGTCATTGCCTGTGCCGTGCTATCCAAACATTGTTAGGTTAGTCGGAAAAGTAAATAGATTTTTCTATGATAAGTTTACCGTTGTTTATGTGAACACTCATGGCTTACTTACCTTGAGAATCATGTGAAAAGCATTTAAAGTATTCTTCATTGGAGTGTTTGACTACTCAAGAAATCATTAGAACGAGACCAGACTAGTAGCCAAAATAGAATTAAAATTTATTACAAGTGAAATGTAAGTGGTGTCCACTTCCAAAATGGCTTGTCCCTGGAAACTATGATGAACGTTATAAAGGTGTTCAGGTCTTTCATTCATCTGGTCATTATGAGTCTTCTGTGACTTGACGGCACTTAACAACAAAATGTATAAGTACATCAGTATTTTGGAAACAACATTATTTTCTGAGTGCTTTAATATTCCTTTTTCTTAAAAAAACAAAACAAAACACTTTGCAGATTTCAGTTTGCAAAGAAGTTTGCTTTTTCTGAGGCATACTTAAAAGTGGTTCCAGTAATGAATTTTTTTGGCAGTTATTTAAAAATTGTACAAGAGAAAACATCTTTTTTATTATTAACCTTCTTATTCCCAGGGTGCTCTTGTTCCTTATTTCTTAAGTGTGCAAAAATCCCTAACCATTGGTACATACTTGCTGTTCATAAGGGAAGCACATGAAAAGTTTGTTCCTTTCCCCCTTTAGTTGCCTGTTCTGATAAGATTGTCTATTTCTACCCATTAGTGATTTTATTTGAAGTTAAATAGCCCCTAGGGTTTAAAATCAAAATCTTTACATTTTCTACATTTTAGCTTGCTATTAGTATCATATTTTTAGCATTGTAGGAGAACAAATAGAAATGAAGGCTAGGCATTTGTCTATGACAGTTACTCACCAACTTATGAATGGACTTGGTGTGGCAAATTTTGAAGGAACCTTGGTGGCTCAGTGGTTAAGAACTTGGCTTCTAACCAAAAGGTCAGTAGTTTGAATTCCCTTGAAAGACCTAACAGCTTCAGAGTTTTAAGATCCCTTCTAATCCAAGGAACAGTTAAACATAATTGTTATGTAGTATATTTTAACAAAGTTTTTAGAAATTGAAATTGCTATTTAACCTTTTTGCATCAAACTCTTAGGAATCTTGACTCAGCAGTGTTCAGTCAGGAGGAGCGCCATTAACAAGTATTATCCTGATGGTTAGGCAGAACTGACTTACTTGCATTTTTAGTATTCTGGGTGCTGACACTGCCAGTTCAGCAATTTCTGAGATTAGTGAGTGCTTTAGTTCATTTTTTCAGAAGCTGACTTGCTTGTGAATCGTTGAAGATCTTTTCTCTATGAATACTCAAGAGTACTCGTCTAATTATGTTTTAATCTTTTTGTCTTACAGTACCCGCTTCTGTTCGTTATTCCCACACAGACATCAGAGTGCCTGACTTTTCTGATTACCGTCGTGCCGAAGTATTAGACAGTACAAAGTCTTCAAAAGAAAGCAGTGAGGCCAGAAAAAGCTTCTCCTATTTGATAACTGCCACAACTACTGTGGGTGTCGCATACGCTGCCAAGAATGTCGTTTCCCAGTTTGTTTCCAGCATGAGTGCTTCGGCAGATGTGCTGGCCATGTTGAAGATTGAAATCAAGTTATCTGATATCCCAGAAGGCAAAAACATGGCCTTCAAGTGGAGAGGCAAACCCCTGTTTGTGCGTCATCGAACCCAGAAGGAAATTGAACAGGAAGCTGCAGTTGAAGTGTCCCAACTGAGAGACCCCCAGCATGATTTAGATCGTGTGAAGAAGCCTGAGTGGGTTATTCTGATAGGTGTTTGCACTCATCTTGGTTGTGTACCTATTGCAAATGCAGGAGATTTTGGTGGCTATTACTGCCCTTGCCATGGGTCACACTATGATGCATCTGGCAGGATCAGGAGGGGCCCTGCACCTCTCAACCTTGAGGTTCCTTACTATGAGTTCACCAGTGATGATCTGGTTGTGGTTGGTTAGAAACTTGGACTCAAGTGATAGGCCTCATTCAGTCTTCATATCAACTTAGAAGTTACTGGGAGCAGGCCTTCTGTCCTTAGGCTGGCTGGTTTGGAGTTCTTAAGAATTGCTGATAATGTTATGAAGTAAATTGAATATAATATTGGATACTTTCAAGGATTTATCTAATAAAACCACTGTTAAACACTGTTAAGCTCAGTCATGGACTTCAAAGATACCTGTCTTTGATAATTCTGATTAAAAATTACCGATGTATAAAGCATTTGTGTTAAATCTGTAATTGATTTTCTCATTTATTCCCTAAATATTTTGTTCCTTTCATATCAGGGACACAAACCTACACAAAATAGAATAACAGACTTGGTGGTCAGTCCGAGATGCTTTTATCAGGTATTCATGGTATTGGTAGAAGTATATACAGCTCAGTCTGCTTATGACCATGAGCCTGGTTGTGTGTGTATGTGTTTTTTCCTTCTGTGTGTGGAACTTTTGTGCAGACTCTGGAACAATCCTGAATGAGGCGTCAGCAGTAGCTCTTGAGAGTTCAGCCCCCGGCCAGGATATTTTATTCCTCTTGTTTAATAATAGGCTTGCTCATTGACTACTGTGAAGTTGGTTCTGACTCAGCTGACCTTTCTTCAGGTTTCTGAGGCTCTAAATCCCAACAGGAGATTTCCAGCTTTCTCCCTTACAACCACTGGTGGAAAGAGTACATTGGTACTTTGGTTTGCTTGGTTTTAGGAGTCAGTGCTGGGATGCTTAAGAGAAGTATGTCTGATTTCAAGACCCTATTGTAAAAATAAATAAAACATGTATGGAAACCTAAGAGGGAAAGGGTGGAATTGGAGGGGTGAGGATAGGTAGTGGTGAAACCCTGATGTTGTGCAGTTTGGTGGCTGGGGGTGGGGGTGGGGTGGGGAAGGAAATGGGAAGAATCGGTGAAGATGGTAAATGAGTAAGGTCCAATGGTGATTAATTTTATAAAACAGTGCATGATAATGAAGAACAGTGTGAAACACAGTTACAACTTTGTACACAAACCAATTAAAAACTCAATGTAGGATCAACTCTAAGTCGGTTCCAATTCAGTGGCAGTGATCAAGGGAGGAATTGTAGGTACTCTTGATGCAAGAGCTCCCAGATTGAAGCTGTCAAGAGGTAGAAAGAGAACAGAGAATCTGAAGACTTACCTGTTGATTTGTTTGTGTAATTGCATTGAAGGTATTTCTCCAAATTCACTTAATTATTTTCACCATGGGCATCACCATTGGAATTCTATTATCACCACACACACAAATACATAATATTACACAAGAGAAATGAGACCAAGATCTGAAATACACCTTGAAAGCTAAAAAGTAGGCTGTGCCATTTGGGGCTATCACCATTTATTGAGTTAGTCTGCTTTCTGGTTAGTCTGCATGTCTACTCTTGGTGGTGACCCAGTAATAAATTCCATGGTCTTCCTTAAGACTACATATGTGTTTGTAAAATAACTAAAGTGGTTAGATACAGAGGGAACTGGCCATCCAGACATACATTAGCATTAATTAGCAGGAAAGAAAATACCAGAGTTTTTATGATAATATTAGTCATTGGTTCATCTGCCATTCTAGGAATTAGGTGTGATTGTTGGGAGTACCTAAAAATAGTATTTTTCTATTCTAAGGAGTGCAGGTGACTTAGTGGTTGTGCAACTAACCCAAAGACACTTGGTTTGAATCTACCGGTTCCACAGGAGAAAGATGGAAAAATCTCAGTTGGGATTTACAGCCTCTGAAAACCTGTGGGAGGGTCAGGTATGGGTTGGTTCTGATTCAATGGTACATCATAACAAGGTTACCAGATAGAGTTATTTAGGATGCCAAAATTAATACGACATTCCAATTTACCACTTTTGTATGTATTACGTTCTCTCTTCTCTAGAGAATTTTGTGAAATTTAGATTTCCAGAAAGATGTTATGTTTTAATATTAAAGAGGAATTATGTATGAACGTGTACTGTCTTCTGCCATTGAATCAGCTGTGTTACTTGGCAGCCCTGTGAACCTTGCTTGCCCTAACTTGTGCCATCTTCTCTATCTCCAGTATACTTGAGCTCATTGTTAATTGTGTCAATCCATCTTGTTGAGGTCTTCCTCTTCTATACTGGCCCCTCCAAACTACATATTGAAAGTATGGGAAATCTTTACCATTCTTCTAAGGAGCACTCTGGTCACACTCTCCAAGACTTGTTCCTTTTGCAGTTCATGAGATAAACATACTCTTCTCCACATCTGTAACTTAAAGGCATTGGTGGTTCTGTCCTTACTCATTGTGCAACTTCAAATGTGAAGCAAGTAATAACAAAGATTACTTGGATCAGGTGCACCTTAGCTGTGAAGCTGACATCATTGCTCTTTAGCACTTTGGAGAAGTTCCTAATTTTCCCAATATGATAAATCATTTGATTTCCAGACAACTGGTACCAAGGGTGTTGATTGTGGATCCAAATAAGATGAAATCGTTGACAACAGCTCAGGAGAGGAAGACCCTAGAGAAGGGTCAATTCTGTGATTAGGGTGGTGGGAGTGGGTGTGTTGGAGACGGTGAGGTTGGCACAGGATAGAGGGTTTAGAGCTTTTGTACATGGGGTTGCTATGAGTTGCAAGCGACTCGATGGCACATTCACAACAACAACAATCATGACTTTGCCTGTTAAATTTCTATGAAGATGTTGGTATGGTTTGATGTAAAAGAGGAATTGTGTCATCCATTAACATGGTGAGGATATTTGTTTATTTAATGAGATGTAATCCATATTCTAGGGTAAATAAAGTTTTTTATTTTCTGCAGCAAGTGCTTCAGTTCCTCACTTTCAGCAAGCAAGGCTCAATCAAATGCATAATGCAGTATGTTTATCAGCCTTTTCCAGATCCTGATACCCCCTTCTTCATAAAGTCTACTGTCTCGAATTACTTGTTCAACATACAGATTGAATAGATACAGAGAAAGTCCTGAAACACACATTTCTTGATTTTAAATCATGCTTTTCAGACGAGTGCCTCTTGGTCTGGGTATAGGTTTCACATGAACACAGTTTAATATTCTGTAGTTTCCATTTTTAATGTTGGCCATAATTTGTTGTGATTGACACAAATGCTTTTATGTAGTCAATAATACACAGACATCCTTCTGGTATTTTTGGGTTTTGGCCAAGATCCATCTGACATCAGTAAAGATATCACTAGTGCCATAACATCATTTAAACCAAGCTTGAATTCATGGCAGTGCTCTGTTGCTGTACTGCTTTAGCCATTTTAAAATAATCATCAGAATTTGCTTGCATGTGACATTAATGGTGCTGTTTTAATCATTTCCACGTTCTGTTGGATCACCTCTTTTTGGGACTGGGAACAAATATGGATCTCAACCAGTCAGTTGACAAGGTAGCTGTCTTCCAGATTGCTTTGGCACAGCCTGGTAAGCATGGCCAAGTCTGTATCTGCTTGTTGGAATATGTAGGTATGTAATATGCCATGTTAATAAACTTGCTGAGTATTTATTATGATAAAGACTTCGAAGACTGGTGGGGAAAGTTATCTAACATGTTATGTTGCTGTTACGTGCCTTCAAGTCATTTGCGACTCATAGCGACCCTATGTACAACAGACCTAAACCCTGCTCTATCCTGTGCCAATCGCACTGCCTCTGACATACCCATCCTGATTACCCCAGTCACTGACTCAATCCACCTCCTAGAGGGTTTTCCCCTCTTGTGCCGTCCCTCCACCCTCCCAGGCATGATGTCCCTCTCCAAGGACCTGTCACTCCTTGCAATGTGCCCAAAGTATGTCAGACAAAACCCCAGAATCCTTGCCTCCAAGGAGTAGCTTGGTTTAATCCTCTCCACGATGAATCTGTTTGTTTTCTTGGCAGTCCATGGTACATTCAATACTCTTCTCCAGCACCACAGCTCAAAGACATCAATTCTCCATCTGTCCTCCCTA